TTTTAGGGGGGGGGGGGGGGGAATCAATTTGTTTGTATATCCTTGTCTGTAGTATCCTCGTCTCTCCAGTTTCTTTGAAACATTAAACATAAATACATGTTCACGTTGTAGATGAGGCTGCAGTTTCAGGAAACCATCATCTAGACTAAGATGAACGTAACACCAATGTTGGAAACTATATGATTGAAAAGTTTTCTTTCTTTTTTACCCAACCCATGTGAAATGTAGTAAGTAGGTTTCTAACCTTTAATTTTTTTCTACCCAACCCATCTCTCTGGTTTCTTTGAAACTTTAAACATAAATGCACATTCACGTTGTAGATGAGGCTGCAGTTTTGGGAAACTATCATCTAGACTAAGATGAACGTAACCCTAATGTTGGAAACTATATGATTGGAAAGTTAATTTTTTTTTTTTTTTTTTACCCAACCCATCCTAAATGTAGTAAGTAGGTTTCTATCCTTTAATTATTTTCTACCCAACCCATCTCTCCAGTTTCTTTGAAACTTTAAACATAAATGCATGTTCACGTTGTAGATGAGGATGCAGTTTCGGGAAACCATCATATAGACTAAGATGTATGTAACACCAATGTTGGAAACTATATGATTGGAAAGTTAACTTTATTTTCTACCCTACGCATGTGAAAAGTAGTAAGTAGGTTCCTAACCTTTAATTTGTAGCGAGTAAATTGTCAACCTTTTAGCACTTTAACAGGTTGGTCCCAATGTACAGTTTCTTTTCATTTGGACTTAAAATGTCATGTTGCATCACATGTTTGATTTCTTGAGGAGTAAAATGGTTAAACACTCAGTTTTAATGAAGAGAAAAAAGGGGGGGAAGAAATAAAGAAATAGCCCTCATCCATGGCCCTACCTCCATGCCACCTCTCAGTCCTCCCATCTCCCAATGCCCCAATCCTTACTGGGATCCCCCCCCCCCCCCCCCCCCCCCCCCCCCACCCCCCCCCCTTTTTGGGGCCCCCCCCCCCCCCCGGTTCAGGGTTCTCTTATATTTTTCTTTCTAGCAATGTTTTTTCCCTTCTGTTTGCTTGTTATTTTTGTACTTTTTCAATTTAGTTTGTTCTTGGTTCTTTTTTTATTTAATTCAAAACTATAAGTACATTATAGTGTTTTAAAGAAAATCAGACATTTTGCTGTGACCCAGCTGTATTTCTTGCTATATTTTGATAGAAACCCAGCTGTTTTAAAGAAAATCAAACATTTCTTGCTATATTTTGATAGAAACTCAGCTGTGAGTGTTCCTTATATGATTGCTCTGGTGCATTTATAATATGCTGCTTGTACTCTTGACGATTTCACCTTTGTAATTAAATTCTCCAGACATAAGCTGAAAAAGAGTAGAAAGAAAAAACTTGGGAACTGCTGTCAGAGTAGTTCAAAATCGAAGGGTTGACTCTATAGGCAATAGTGCTTCATGGTATTAGATGGAAAACTATTTCCAGGATAAAATATGGTGTTTAAAACTTGAAGTACACCAGATGTTAGTGCGCCTCCGTGTCTTGTCTCAAAAAAATAAAAAATAAAAAATAAAATGAAGAAGAAAATGGTCAAGAGAGATACAAAAAGCAAGAAGTTTGGCATCTATATTTATTTTTGGCTAACCGACATGGCTTTGTTGGAGAATGAGGTGTTTCATTGTTGCTGGTCCTTGTAGGATACTTCCCAGCCGGCAGATATTTAGACCAATGGAGGTACCTCTTTTGAAATCTTAGGTGTTACAAGGAAGACAAATTTCTGGAGTTATATCGTATTTAGTTATCAGGCCTGTTTGGCATTGTGAACTGTTTACATAGAAATTTTGAGTATTTTGTTCCCAAAGGACCTCAGCAGCTACAAAGTAATTTCCATCTTAGGCCATGTAATTCCCCCGGCTGAAAAAAAGTTAATCTTCTGTTGCAGCTCAGAGGACCTGTTGATTTGGTCAATGAAAATGTTCATTTTGACTTGATGAGCTTCCTAATTGAGGAATTATTGAGAAACCTATTTTTTAGGCATTATTAGCTTCTTTAGACCAGGGAGGTGAAACAGTTTTATCTGTTTGTTCTAAATTCTGTATTTGATGCTGCATTATTTTGTTAGGCAGGCTGAAGGCTCTAGCAGAAAAGCTCGACAGGATTGGATTTTGGTATGCTATTTTATAGCTAAGGGGACAAAGATAAGTAAAATACCCCACCAGAACGAAATGATGGATAAGGGAAAGAGAGGACATTCCAACACTTTATTTTGTTTGTATAAGCAAAGAAAAAGATTTAAAGATTTTGACCGTGGAAGCTTAAAGCATCTTCCTGAATATAGCCTCAACACCTTGTCTATTTTATTGGTGGATACCCCGCGACACTTCTCTAGGTAAATTTAGGATTATTATGAGGATTTGCCCTTAGGTTTGAGAAACTCCCTTGCATGCTTGCATTTTGTTGTTCCTTTGTTAGTCTGTCATGGAGTGCCCCAAAACAATTCTTCCAATTAGATATTTTTGTTCTCTCCAACAACCATGACATCCCTGTCGCACCTTCAAGAATGCAAGTGTGGAACTGCTGATTTTTTATCTTAATTATGGGGCCAACTATAACATGCCTAATTTTGTAGTGAGCACACTTATACTTGTTTGTGATTCATCTTACTTTCATAGTTGTTTTTGTATAGCCTAATTATGTATTTAAGAGCAAGACAGTATGGATGAATATTACCTTTTTTTCTATAGTCATTGTGTAAGCATTGGTTCCTTCCATGGATTGTTATATTTGTTTCTTTGCTGCATATGCATTCAATTCTTACTCATGTATCGCACGTTATATCATACAATTTTCGTTTTCCTATTTCTCTGTTCGATCATACTCTTGTATGAAACTTTGAACAAAGTTAATTGGCAGGCGCAGGTGACAGGGATAAAAGAGAAAGAAGCAGAGACAGAGGAAGGGAGCGAGACGATAGGGAGAGGGATAGGAAGCGGAGTAGGAGCCGGGAACGGGATAGACATAGAGATAGAGATAGAGATCGTGGTTATGACTACGATCGAAACAGAGAATATGGACGGGAGCGAGATCGTGACAGGGATCGCAGCAGCAGGTATCGCATTTGAGTAATATATCAAACCGTCAGGAAGAATTTATTGCGTGTGTTTGTGGACAAGAATGTCTTGGAATTAGCTTAACCAGAAAAAGGATGTCAATTAATTTTTAAGTACTTTTAAAATCAACAGTCTCTTACGGATGGCTAAAGTGGATCCAGGCTTTGAATGAATAAATGGATTTGGAACCATGTATTTACGTTTTTAAGCCTTATCCTAACCTTAATAATTATTTATTGTTGTGTTAAAAAAGTAGGCGCAAAATGCCTCGGCTCGCACTTTTTATTTTTTTCCTGCGGCTAGGTGTGAGTTTCTAACGCTTTTTACATTTTTTTACGCTTTTATTTTAAATTATTAAATGATTTTTAAAATAAGATTTTTTTTTTTTTTTTTTTTTTTTTTTTTTTTTTTAACAACACCTTGGTCTCGTCTAGCTTGAAGCTTGGCCTTCACTCTTCATCATATTTTGCGCTTTTTAAAATACTCTTATTTATATTCCGAAAAGAAGATATGTTGATCTCTATTTAAGATTTGTTTACTTATATTTTAATATCAACAAAATTTTTTGACTACTTCAAGAATCTTATTGATAACTAATTTGAGTACTTATATAATTTTTTTTGTGGTTTTGCTCCAATATTACTAAATCTTCAATTCAAATATGTAATATCTTGACAAGATTCAATTGCTAGATAAGCCTAATTTTATGAATAATATATCTAAATTATAGCTTGGACGTGTCTTATATATATTATTCTTTATGTCTTTTATTAAATTTAGATGGAATAGGATTAGAAGACGTTAGAGAATATTCTCAAGATTTGTGACACATGATTGGTTATATGGATTGGAGAAGCCAAATGATGTGTAATGACGTAGTGCTAGAAAATGGGGTAAAATGGTCTAAAAAAATGATCTGTGATGACGTAGTGTTAGAAAATGAGGTAAATTGCATTAGGTGTCTCAAAGCTTTAAAAAAAGGTGCCGTTGATCCTAAACCTTTAAATGAGTATGTTGGGCAAGGTCCTTGAATGGTTTCCGTCAAGAAAACCGTCAACTGACCCACAAGTACCATATTGATGAAAAGTTGACTAATTTAGAGGGGCAAATTGGATTTTTTATTTTTATTTTTTTCAAAAACATGAAAAACATGACAAAGAATTGATTAACAAAAATGTTTTTTAAAAACTTCTCCACCTTCCCTACCATGACCTTGCCACAGTAGTATAGTGTTGTAGTGGATGGGATAATCCCACCATTTTCATGCCTCCTGCCTCACACGACTCCCACCCTCTATAGCCTTACTACGCTCTACCTCCTACTTTTTCACCATTGTGTTGTAACCATCCTACTCCCACCATAGCCCCTGTCACCCATTGAATTAGATTCACTGTGAAGTATGGTTTAATCATGAAACCAAAGAATCTGGTTTCGTTTAGCATGAAATCAAACTAAATATCTAGTTTCTCGGAGAAATCAGAGTTTTTGAACTATTTTCACAACTGCTGTTAGAAATGATGTCGAAGTTCAAGCCTTAAATGAAAAGGGATTGTGACCATATGGAAGATGGTTTCATGATGCCGTGGGCCATGCATGTCTATTTGAAGGCCTTAAATGTAAAGGGATTGTGACCATATGGAGGATGGTTTCATGATGCCGTGGGCCATGCATGTCTATTTGAAGGCCTTAAATGTAAAGGGATTGTGACCATATGGAGGATGGTTTCATGATGCCGTGGGCCATGCATGTCTATTTGAAGGTTTGGAACTTCGGCCAAAAATAAAATATTTGGGACCTCATGATACTTTTTTGAAAGGTTTGAGACCCCTAGTGAAATTTATCCTAGAAAATGGGAAAAGACTATGCCAAACATTTCTGGGTGTTTTGAAAATTTATAGATAAAAGCAAAACTGTTTTGACTCGACCACTTCGGCGAGTTGATCAATTTATATTCGAGTAAAAGCTAGATTCGTAATATTCATTATTTACTCTGTAATGAAGAATGAAAATTATTTTAACTTAATAATAATTATTAACAAAACTTCATTCAGAAACTATTCTCTCTCTTCCAATAGCACTGCTCACTTCCAAGTTTCAAAGAAATTAGAATTATGTTTTTTGTACATTTCTTGTTGACATCCTTCCGTGTTAGAAATTTGACTATTGATTGAAAAAATTATAAAGTATTGCTAAAATCAATGAACATAAATCTCTCAACTCATTAGAGTTGTCCCAAAACCATTGTGAAGTGTCAAAATCATCGAGTTCAATAAACATAATGATTAGTTTGTCAGCCTTGACACTTTCCAATCTTACAACTTTATGCTTCATCCTTCTGTTGTTGGGCAAGTAACTAATTTCCACAGTAAGCTATTAAGTCATAGTTTGAGATCATTATTTGCGATTTTCAATATTTAAATAGTGAATTTTTGGAGAATGTGTGATTAAAATTAGGATAAATTTTGGATTTAATGTAGAATATTTTATTTTATGAACGTGTAGTTGAAAATTAGTAGATAGAAAAAGAGTTTTGGAATAAATGATATAGACAGGGGTTAACTGTCCATACAACTTTATAGGTGCTGAGATGACACTCATGACAGCACCGGTATGGCTTTCTCAGCACTTGATGAAAATCTATCAATTGAAATTCTTTACATTTCCTTGTGAAAATTTCCTATACTCAGAGCATTGCTCTAATTTCCATCATCTACAACTTAAAACTTTCCACTTTATGGGACCTATAATAGCTTATTTAGAAGAGGTTGTAATATGAAGTACTCGACAAAGTTTAGGATTAGACACTTTGTAATATGAACTACCCAACAAAGCTTATGACTAATTAGGGTTGTCAATGGCTCGGCCCATGAACTTTGTAATATGAACTACCCAACAAAGCTTATGACTAATTAGGGTTGTCAATGGCTCGGCCCATGAACTTTGTAATATGAACTACCCAACAAAGCTTATGACTAATTAGGGTTGTCAATGGCTCGGCCCATGAACTTTGTAATATGAACTACCCAACAAAGCTTATGACTAATTAGGGTTGTCAATGGCTCGGCCCATGAACTTTGTAATATGAACTACCCAACAAAGCTTATGACTAATTAGGGTTGTCAATGGCTCGGCCCATGAAAGCACGAGCTCGGCTCGTCCAAAAAAGGGCGAGCTTGGCTCAGCTCACGAGCTCGCGGCTCGCGAGTAGACGTCGTTTTTCAAATTTTTTATTTTTTATTTTTTTGGGAACAAATAGGTAATTTGAAAAATAAAAAAAGTAATTTTTTTTAACTAAAAGAGATAGAAAAAATAAAAATGGAAGCTTTATTTTTTTTATTTTTCTTTTTAAAATCGATAAAATATAAACCCTCCTCCTTTATTCGGGATTGGGACCCGCTACTTAAATTTTCAGTAGGCAGAGTTAAAAATTGTACACGAACAATTTTTTGTAGCGTGTACAATTTTTTTAAGAAAATTAAAAGTAACGATAAGAAAAGAAAAGTTTCATCAATATAACTAAATCAAATATCACTTAGGGTCCTTTTGATTGCAAAGGTAGAATTTGGGTGGAAAGAAAATGAATTCCAGAGAATTAAATTACCTAGAAATTGTTTTCCTGAGAATTGTCAATTGATAGTGTTTGATTAGTATAATTTTTCACGTGAAAAATGTTGAAATAAAGTGTTTTTTTGTGTTCGTTTGACTTTATTTTATATGAAAATTGTCAATTTAAGGAATATCCACTTCTATCATTGTTCCTAAAATTTGTTTTCATTGCCAACAAAAAAAAGAAAAGATAAAAACTCATATATATTTTGGTGTTCGTTTGACTTTGTTTTACATGAAAATTTTCAATTAAAAGATTAGTCTCTTTTACAATTATTCATAGAATTTGTTCCCATTGTTAAAAAAAAAAAAAAAAATTTGGGTGGAAAATGAATTCTCATCCACCAAATGAAGGAAAACAAGGTCACATGAGGGTAGGGGAGAATTCAAATTCCATGAAAAATTTGGGCAATCAAACACCTTTAATTGGATGAAAAATGGAAAAAGTTTTCCATTTTCCATGGAAAACGGAGTAATCAAACATACTCTTATTGACGACATGCAATTTCGGCATATTTATCTTGTAGTCGAAAATGATCGTCCTGCCAATTCTTAACGTACATTAACGCTTCTAAAATATCTTCTTTTAGTTGGCTCCTGACCTCGCTCAAAACTCTTTTACCTGCACTAAAAGCAGATTCCGAAACAACAGTGCTAACCGGAGGTGTCAGCAGATCTTTTGCAATCACAGATATAACTGGCCAATGTCGTTCATACCTTCGCCAGAATTCAATTACTTCGTCTGAACTTTTTTTAATTGTTTTATCTATTGGCATATTTTCGTTGAAATAATCAATTAATTCAGCAGGCAATGCATTATGGCTTGAGCCCGTAGATGTATGATGAGAATGAGATATAGATGGTGATGACATGGTAGTGACAGTAGTGGTAGATGAATACATTGCAGATGAATCAAATCTATAAGAATTAATGTCTTGAAATAAATTAAATATTTCTGCATCTTCTTCTTCAATTTCAGTGGAAGAAGTAGGTGCAGATGATACCCGACTAATATTGGTATCCATTCGGTTTGCATATAATTCATACATTTCACATAATATTTGCTCTAAATTTCTATATGTAATATGAGTATCAAATATTAAGGCGTTTGAAATTTGATCAGTTATATATTTAGTTCCCGATAAATTATATCGGAGGTCCATCATGCATGCTAAAGGAAATAATATAGGCAAATCTTCCCAATGTTTTCTAAATTTTAATTTCATAGCAATTATAATTTCACTAAAATCAGGGTCATTTCTGTATTTATAAAATGTTCTTGCAATTATATAAAGACGTTCAAGCACCATACAGCTGGTGGGATAGTAAACG